CTTAACCTCCCTGAGCCCCAGCTTCCTTGTGTGTCCGCCTCTCAGCTCTTGCCCAAAGTATATATATGAGAGACAGCCACTGTGAAGTGACAAACCCAGCGCCTAGCAGACAGTAAGCGCTCAAGAGATGTTAGCTGAGCAGCGGTGGAGCATTTTGGTGTGTTAGGTGGGAAAGAAATGGAGCCTTGAATGACCTAAATCTACTGAAGCTTAATGCTAGAGAAAAGAGAGGTAGGGAGAGGATTTTTTGAGTGAGTATCAAAATCTGAATGTAAGCCGCTTGTCATCTTTATGTAGTAATATTGGAAACCATTATGAAATAAAGGTTATTTGCGTGAAGTTTTATTTATCCCTACCTTTAGTTTCCCCGTTCCCTTGTAAAACCACAAACAGTTTTTTGTGTGTGTTTGTTGCCCCTGCCCTTGAGGAAATAGGATATTTTGCTGTACTCTTTGGATGGGTGTTATGCATTAAAGAAAATACAGTAGCATCTCAGAAGATGTCGAAAGTAGAGAGAAAGAATTTCCCATTATTTCATCACCCTAAACAAACAACACTCAGACACTTTTGTGTTTCCTCCCCCTGTGTTTGCAAACACATCTTTTCATGGCTGTGGGGAGAACACACCATGACCTTGCTTTTATTCTCACCCCATCTTCTCTCTCCATTGTAGAGCAAGAAGTTTGTCATGTGGTGATACAGCTTTAGGAAGTCTGATGTCTTACTAGCGCATAAAAGTTTGTTCTGGTGACTTCCGCCATACTTGACTTAGGCATTCTCCTGCTGGTAGACATTTTGGTTGCTTGCAGTATTACATGATTTTCAACTAAATTGTAATGAGCAGCTTCACAAATAGTGTTTTCTTTCTTTTGGCTTATTTCTTTAGGATAAGTTCCCAGAAGTGGAATTTCTGGTTCAAAGGGTATGAACATCGTTTTTTGTTGTTGTTTTGTGTGTGTGTGTGTGTGTGACTCTACATCTTGCCAGATGGCTTTCCCAATGGGCTGTGCCCACTTTAAACTGCTTCAGCACTCTTTTAAGAATGACTGACTTTCACAGCCACATCNGCTTACAGTGCCCAGGAGAGAAAGGCAGGCAGCATGCACTGCGCGGCTCCGTGGTGCTCCGGCCCACTCACCACGTCTCTCTGGACAGCTGGGCCCTCACCTCAGCCTTGTCCTGTTTAGTCAGCTTTATGTCACACGAGGGACAAAAATGTGATAGGATGGAAGCCCACATTCTAAAAATAGAAGACACAAAAATAAGCTTGTGATGCCATGAGGAGTAAAATTAATTCTATAGAAAATGTACCTTTGTGAAATGCCATTCTTTTATGATGCCAGGTAAGCGAAGTGTCAGTGTCCAGCATGTGTACATTAAATGGTCAGTACTGGTACAACCAAGTTCCAGAAGGGGAGGTGATGTTACCAGGTGTCTTAGTGATCAGAGAAGGCTTCATGGAGGTGGTATGGAAGGAGGCAGACAGCCCAGCCCCTGTCTGGTCCATTCTCCGAGGTCAGTGTTCCCCTCCATAGTGTGGGACAGCACCAGCACCCGCCGCCCAGAGGGAGGCGAGCCCTGCGGTGCCTGGCGCTTAGTAGATGCTCAGTGAGTGTCTTTGTTATATTAGCCCACGTGAGATGCTATGGGGGCGAGGAAGGAAGGAGGGGTGTTGGTTGTGTGGTGGGAATCATAGGGGGCCTGGAGCCACGCAGGCCTGGGTCTGGGTCTTGGTTCTGCCACCAGCAGAACGGGCCCGGCCCCATTCATCGGCATCTCTGGGTCCGTTTTCTCATTAGCAGTTGGGAAACAACACGCTGCATTTGTTGGGGGATTAAACAGGGTCATACACACAAAGCCTTCAGCCTGCCCCGTAGTCAGCTCTCCTTAAATGGACGCTGCCATCGCCATCGGAAGCACAAGGCAGCAGCCAGCCACACGCACGGGGCACACCTCCCTACAGGGACCGCCGCAGAGGGACCGGCCTCCTTCCCGAGGACCCCCCTGCCTGCTGGGTGGAGGGCAGTGAGGATCAGAAAGCAAGGCTTTTCATAGCAGGGAGGCCATGTTTCAAGAGCCTCTGAGCTGTCACTTCAAATGAAGGAAAAGTCTGCACCTTAGAAAGCCAAGAAGGCTCATCTCTCACTGGCTTGGCTGCCTCGAGCCTTCACCTTGGCCGTAATCGGGCTTCGTGTGCTCACGGACCGCGTGCCGGCCAGGGTGACCTGCTCCCACCCCCTCTCCTTTAGTGAGGTCTCCTGTGCTGTCTCTCTTCTAGATGAAGCCCATGAACGTGGAGTATCTCATGATGGACGCCTCCATCCTGCTGCCGCCCACAGGCACGCCGCTGACAGGCATCGACTTTGTGAAGCGGCTGCCCTGTGGTGACGTGGAAAAGACTCGGAGGGTGAGTGAGCCCTGGACCTGGCCTCTCCCTGGCCGCCGTCTGCCAGGACCACCCTCTGGGCAGGGAGGGAAGGGTCTCTGACTGGGTTAAGAGCCCACCTTCCCCCACGAGTTCGGCGGCGGCGGGTAGACAGGCAGCACCTCTCCACACCCCGCCAGCAGGTCTAACTTCCCAAGGCTGCGGAAACAGGGATTGACTCCCACCGCATCTGGCACCGGATGTGGGCTGCAGGCAGGCTGCTTTCACCGGCGCAGGCCACCCCTGAGCTCTGGGAGAGGAAGCCAGGGGGCTGGGCTTCTGCAAGGGACGCGGGGGAGTAAGCAGAGTGAGCACAGTGCAGGTGAGGCTGGTGTGCAAGCGTAGCCCAGATAGGCCCAGGATCCCCGAGACGGTGTGATGTTCAGGTATCTGCGTGATCTTGGGGTGAGGCACACGTAAGTGAAATGGTGATTCTCGCCGGCCTGCGGGAGAGACGTGTGTGGAAGGCAGATTAATTCTCAGAAGCCAGCTGGAGTGTGTGCTTCCGTTATCAGTTCTTTTTTTTTCTGAAGCAGCCTCGCAGGGCTCTTCATGGTATTTTATCTCCCTGGTAAGATCACACTTTCTTTCTTAGAAAGCACCATAACCTTTTCCTAGAAAATCATTCCCTGGAGATGTGAATGTTAGTGGATAAATTAGTGGAATTCAGTGCACCCCGCTCCCGTTATCAGCCTGCATCTTCCCCTGAGCTAATCCGAGTGTAACCAGAGCAGTTGAGGTGTTTAATTTCTGGATTATGAGAAGCAGGCCTGAGGACTCTGCCTTCCTCCACCCGGCCTGTGCTTTGGCCTGGGAGGCCTGCCTGCGGGGCACAGGAAGTAGGACCACATTCCCTGCTATCTGACCACACCCCAGGCCTCACCGCAGGACCCACCCTGTCCCCCGGGTGAGGCCTCCCTTCCTCGATTTCCCAGCCAGCGCCAGGTGGGCACACGATTACGCTTGCGGGTTGGCAGTGTTTGCACTGGGCATTTTTGGCATTGGCTTTTATGAGAGGACGGGTTCTGACAAGTGTGAGTTGTGCCGGCAACTCCTTCCTGATGTGGGCACGCTCACTCCTAGCCTTGGGTTGGCCTAAGAGTTGATCCCTGGCCAGGTGACAGCGAAGCCACGCCCTCGGATGAGCTGCAGTGTCCTCAAGCCAGAGAGGACTCTGTCCCCAAGGTCCGCCTCGGTCCCTGAGCCAGAAGGTCCAGAGAGCCGTGAACACTGAGAGCTGCTGCTTCGGGCCGCATCCTGCCTCTTTCTGGGTCACCGCCCATCAGCTTTTCTAAACAGATACATGAGCTTCTAGTCTTCGTGATAAAGTGGATCGTTCATAGCAGTTCTTCATGTGCGTTTTTTCACGTAACTCTACGACTCTCCTAGGAGGTTGGCACCATTATTATCCCCGTCTTACAGTGGAAAAAACCGAGGCCTGAAGAGGTCAAGTGATTTGCTCAAGATCACCCAGCTAATAAGTCGCAGAGCCAGGATTCAGCCCAGGCGGTGTGGCCTCTACTGCCCTCCACTGCCACCTTCATCGTATTTATTAGCCCTACTCAGTGCCGGCCACCAGGGACACAGAAAACAGCTGCAGTCCTCAGGGACTCAGAGTCTAGACGGGGAGAAGAGGCAGCATCCACCCATGTGGCCGAGGCCATGAGGAAGGGAACATGGGGTCAGGTTTCTCATTTTACCTGGGGAGGGAGGTGGCGCATTCCAGCACTTCCAAGGAGGGGACCCTGGCTGGAGCCAGAATGAGGGACGCTCTGTGGGAAGGGGTGAGTCTGGAGAGGCTAGAGGAGCCGGACCCTGGGGGCCTTGGAGCCCAGCGAGTACCTTGACCTTGTGAGTGGGTTCCAGAGCCGCAGAAGAGACTGGGAGAAATCCAGGGTGAGGCATGTGGCAGAGGGACGGTTGCTCGGGCTTTCGGGTCCCTGCTCCCTTCTGAGCCACTCTCGCCATCTAGAAAGCAGTGTGTTCCTCCTTGCCGGTTATTGTAAGGACTCAGTGAAAGGCAGACTGGAGGCTAGCAGCAGTTTTTGATGGCAGGGGCTCGCTGTGTCTTGTTGACCGTCACATCTCACTCAGTTGCAAGTTCCCAGGGCCGTGCTGCCACCTCCCTTGCCCCACATGGGGTGCATGGACCATACTGCTAACTGAAGCACAGACCGAGCCCCTGGGAACACCTGGGCTTCCCTGGGGTCTCTTGGTCGGCCTTTGGCTGTCTGACAAGTTTATAAAAGCAACTCCCCCATCCCAGGGCCCGTGAGTCTAGAGCCAGGGAGAAGGTGGCCGAGTGACATGAAGTAGGGCTGGCCACCTACAAGCAAAGCCATCCAGCTACGAGAAGCCTCTCTTTGTGACTTCAGGAATTAATTTTGCTCTTTTATTTAAGCATAGCGGGCATACAATATTATATTTGTTCCAGGTGTACAATACGGTGAAGAATCAATTTCTGAAAGGGAATTTCCACCACTCACCTCAGGCTAGTTCTGGTTGCAAGGCAGCTGTCTGGAATTCTCCAGAAACGTAGCTCCTTGCCCATTTCAGACATCAGAACACAGCAGTATGCTTTGAATTTGAGCTTAAGGAAGTGTATGGTTTAGTGAGCAATTGAGGGCTTATGTGGTTTGTTTCAAGTTCTTTGCTTTTATCCAAAGAACATTCCATTTCGTTCATTTGGACTCAAAGGTTTTCTTTTCTTTTTCTTTTTTTTCCACCAAGTAGACTTTTCTAACTTTCAGGAGGCTGAGCCTTTTCAGAAATCCCACCCTTTGTTTTCCTTAAGGACTTGTCAGGGAGGTTCAGACAACCCTGACTAGTAAATCATTGCTAACTGGTAAAATATTCCTTCATACATTCATTAAAGAACCAGTGGGTTCCTACTGTGTGGCATATGCTATGCTTGGAGTGCAGAAATGAACAGGGAAAATGTCCCTGCTTTCTGGCCTTCACATGACATCAAGAGAGGTAAAGTTTATTAACAAGGAAGCAAGTGACAAGTTTGATATCAGACTGCAGGCAAGGCTCTGAAGTAAAGAGGTGGCACTACTTTAGATATCAGGAAGGGCTCCTTTGCCAAGGTTGACATCTGAGCCGAAGCTGAAGAGTGAGAAGGAGCCAGCCATGCAGAGATTTACAGGAGGCACTTTGCAGACAGACAGAGTAGTGAGTGAGAAGTCCCCAGGATGGGACAGAGCAGGGTCACTGGAGCAGAGTGAGGGAAGGAGAAGGCAGGAGAGGAGGGCTGGCAGCGCCGTGCGGGGCCATGGGGATGCCTCTGACAATAAAGTCATGTTTGCCCTCTTGCGTTTTGCAAATTACGCTGTTTATTCCTTCGTTTGACATATTTATTGAGCATTTTCTAGGTGCCAAGATTTAATAGACAGTGAACAAATAATATAAGACTAAAATAGCAAGAGTGCCACTGAGCCATGGCAGCTGACTGAGAAGGGACATTCTTGTTGAAAGGAGAGTCAGTGGAGC